ATTTTTTTTTTTACACCAATACATATTTTATGAAGATAATTCTTTTCTTCTTTTGGCAGTTTTGGGGTTTTAAACTGAGGACCTCACACTTGCTAAGTTGATGATCTACCATTTGGGCCACTCCACCAGTTTGCTCTGTGTGTGTGTGTGTGTGTGTGTGTGTGTGTGTGTGTGAGAGAGAGAGAGAGAGAGAGAGAGAGAGATAGGCCTGGCCCAGTCTGGATTTCAGTCCCCCTATTTGCACTTCCCTTTGCCATTGGGTGACAGGCATACTCTCAGCTATTCTTTGAGAGGCCTGTACTGGCCTTGACCCATCATCTTCCAGTCTCTGCCTCTCAAGTAGCTAGGGTTACAGACTTAAGCCACTGGGTCCAGCTTAGCTCTTCTTTAAAGAAAATTCAAATGAAACTCTGTATACAGGGGGCAGGTGGAAGGCAGGTACTGGAAACTTTAAGTATAATTTGTATGCAAAACTTGCAAGTTATCTCCTGGAATAATAATATTTCCACACACAGTTCTTTTGAGGTTCAAATTAAGTGGTATGTAAAAGACTACATTGTAAATGTAAGTCAGGATCAACAACATTCAAGTCCATCTTATAGTCTTACTTATTGTTGATTTCGGTCTCTTTGTCTATCTAGTAGATTCAGAATTAGTCCCTAACAAAGAAAAGTCTATCTGAACTGTTGAATGTGCCCTACTTGGAATTATGTTCTTTTAAAGTGTCTTGTGATGAGATAAATTTGGATTTAGGTTAGACTCTAAATGTGATCACAGACACACATTTATTAGGAGAAAGGCAGGGGATATTTGAACCAAGCTAAGGAGCTTTTGAGGCACTGGAAGCAGAAATAGGGGCCGGAGAATTCTCCCCTAGAGTCTTCCGAGAGGCCCTACTGGCAATTTGATCTTTGACTACTGGCTTCTGGAACTGTGAAAGCACGGATTTCTGTTTTTATACAATTTTATACAATTTGTTGTAATAATATCATCTCCACCCCATTCACGGCTCAAAGCTTCCATCATACCCCTGCTTTCATTGTATTTGATGTTGGTTATAATTTGTGGAGGGGAAGCGAAAAAAAAATTGTTTAAATAGGGATACAGGTGGACCCATTGCAGCAATGAGATGTACAAGACGTTATGTCGAAAAACGAACTTTACAACTTCAGTCGGGGGTGGAGGGGTGGAAGATAGGAAGGGATGGGAAGGGGAAACAAAGGAGGAGGCTACAATGCTTGATAAGAAATGTACTCATTACCTTGCCCATGTAATTGTAACCCCTCTGTATGGCATTTTCACAATAAAAACAAAACAAGACAAAATGCCATCATTTCAGTATTAGTCATTCTTGTTTTGTCCCTGCAGGTGGTACAGGCAGACAGAAGTTAAACTATGATTGAAAACTAAAGTCAAAGCTTGTCAGGTGTCAGTCTCCCTCTCTCCCCACTGCCACATGCTACTTCTCATTTCTCGCAGAATGGAATCCAAAGTCTTTGGCATGCCTACAAGGCTAGATCTTACCAGGCCTCTGCTAAGTTTCTGCCCTCATTGTGTGTGTGTGTGTGTGTCCTGGGGTTTGAATTCAGGAACTGAAAGTTGTTCCTGAGCTTTTATGCACAAGGCTAGTGCTCTACCACTTGAGTTACAGCTCTACTTCTAGCTTTTTGATGTTTCCTTGGATAAGAGTCTCATGTATGTTCCTGCCTGGGCTGGCTTTGAACCACAACCCTCACATCTCAGCCTCCTGAATAGCTAGGATGACAGGTAGAAAGCCACTTGTGCTGAATCTCCCCTCATTTTTTTTTTTTTTTACTACTCATTCACTTGCTTCCTGGTCTGCATTTGTGCTAAACACATCTTCCACAACAATTTGCACACTCTTCCTTCTGTCCAGAAGATCACAGCCTGCCTCACGATCTTAACCCAGTTCTTGTCTCTGCAGAGGAGACCTGGCCGGCCCCTCCTATCCAAATTGGCTGACTAGAATTACTGTCACATCATTCTCTTGTCTTTCCTTGTTTATTTGCTTTTTCGTAGCCTCTGTCCTATTAAGAGGAAAGCTACCTTGAAAGGATCCACCACATCCACCCCAGGGGACCACGTGGAGGCAGGCAGGCACAAGACAAAGATGATTACAAGGTTTATTAGAGGAGCCATATTTTCCCTAGAGTGAGCATGTGGCAGCCTCCACTATCTAGGTAGCAGCAAGGTCTAGGGGGTAGGAAGTGAGGTAGATGGGAGCTCAGGTGGGTCTGGGTGGAAAGAGGGGAAGAACTCCAGGGCAGGGAGGAGCTGAGGTCTGGGTGGAGCTGAGGACCAAAGATGGGCATAATGCATACATACCTAAGTGTCAAGATCTTGTCTATCCTGTTCTTTATAGCATTTCTAGTACCAGTGTTCAGCATGCTACAGACACTAATAAATGTTTGTTGCATGAATGAAGAAACAAAAACACCTTATTGTCATTAAGGGTGTGGACCAAAGGGGATGCAGATAGTATCTACTTTCAGCACCACCCCAAACAGCACTTACTGAACAGAGAGTAATCCAGGAGGAGGCCACCTACACTTGTTCTCAGTGCTTAGGAGTTGCCACCAAAGGGAACAACCCATGTGGCTGCAAAGCTCTATCTGCAGCTAGAATTGTTAAATACTATTAATTTTCAGCAAGGTATTTTTCAGTGCTTATGGTTGACAAATATTAAAACTATATATACTTTCCTGAATCAATGAATATGAAAACTGAACCAAAGCTACTCTTTTTCATTTTTTTTCTTTTCTTTTCCTCTCTCTCTCCTCTCTCTTTCTCTCTTTATGTGTGTGTCAGTTATAGGACTTGAACTCACGGCCTGAGCACTATCCCTGAGCTCTTTTACTATCTCAAGGCTAGCATTCTACCACTTTGAGTCACAGCTCCACTTCTAGTTTTCTGGTGGTTCACTGGAGATACGTTTCATGGATTTTCCTGCCCAGGCTGGCTTTGAACTCTGATCCTCAGATCTCAGCCTCCTGAGTAGCTCGAATTACAGGGGTGAGCCACCAGTACCCGGCCATGTAAGCTGTTTTAAAAAGGCTTTCATGTACCTTATTTTAGGTGCCTCTTTTCCCTGGCTGAATTAGGAATGACGAGAAAATTACCTTCATTTTTTTCAGGTGGAAATCAGGAGACTAAATTACCTGTACAAAGACTAGGCCCAACTGGCCTTTGGATAGTCCAGACTCAAGAATTCAGATTTCAAATTCCTTATGTTTTCTCCACGGCATTTCACTCACTCTTACAAACACACACACACACACACACAGGCACACACACGCGCTCTTATTGCACACCAGCTGTTTCAGGCACTGCTTCAGGTGCAGAATCTATGGGTATTAAAGTTGATCCTCTTTGTTTGCCTGTATTGATTGACTGTTTTCAGTTTAAAAGTACGCAAAGGACACCTGCTCCCGCCGCCGTCTCCCGAGGCACCCGTGCTTCTCGGGGAGCTCCGGGCCTGCGGAGGGGCCGAGGCGACTTGGAGGACGTGTCCCGCGGGGCGGCCGGGCCCGGACAGGGGGGCGCTGGGCAGAGCCCAACCTGGTTGGTCCCTACACCTCTGCGGACAGCACAAGTCTAACCTCAGGAACCCGGTGGGCGGGGCGGTGTGGCGCGCGCTGGGCGGAGCCGAGGGGAACTGGGCGGGGCCGAGGAGCTGGGCGGGACGGTAGGGTGCGCGCTGGGTGGGGCCGAAGGACTGGGCGGGGCTGTGTGGTGCGCGCTGGGCGGGGTAGAGGGATCGGGCGGGGCTGGAATGGGCGGGGCCGAGGGACTGGGCGGGGCGGAGTGGTGCGCACTGGGCGGGGAGAGGGACTGGGCGGGGCGTTGTGGTGCGCGCTGGGCGGGGCAGAGGGACGGGGCGGGGCAGTGTGGAGCGCG